TTGAACAAAACAAAACTCTTGGGTTAATCCACCTGAATCTTAATTTTACTATATACATATTCATAACTACTAGCTGGTGAGACTGTTGACCCACTTTCCCACACCAAAGTGGACAACAAGCCCTGACCGGTTTGGCTCAGTGGATAGAGCGTCGGCCTGTGGACTGAAAGGTCCCAGGTTAGATTCCGGTCAATGGCATGTACCTTAGTTGTGGGCACATCCCCAGTAGGAGGTATGCAAGAGGCAGCTGATGGATGTTTCTCTCTCATCGATGTTTCTAACTCTCTTTCCCTCTCCCTTCCTCTCTGTAAAAAATCAATAAAACATAGGTACTTTAAAAAAAAAGTGGACAACAAATGGGATGTACCACCTGCCATTAGTAAGAAAAGTGAATTGGCAACCTGTATATATTTCTATTTTCTTTTGGGAAGATGGAAATTTCTACACAGAGCATTGCAGTTTTGATATGGCTAATCTTGCTCTGGCCTTTGATGATGATCAAAGTCTCACTAATGTAAACTAATTAGAGACATTGGACGTGCTGAGTTTTGATTATAAAATGAAATAATTTAATTGCTTTTATGTATATATAAATTGAATCTTTCCTGGGCTAATAATGACAACCTAATAGGCATGTTATGAATAGCTATGAGTAATTATACTTAGAATATTAAACATGGTTGAACTATTGCTGAATCCCATTTTTACTGCAAAGAGTGGGTGTTTCAAAGAGATTTTTTTTTTCTTTTAAGTATATTCATATTTACCTTTCAATGTAATATGAATATAAGGATGGTTTGGACTAGCATTCATAAATTAGAAATGATGTTTTGTTTTCAGTTAGTTATATGAGTGATTGAATTGTTTCATAGTATTAACTTATTGGAGAGAAAGAAATTATAAATGGCTATGTTATTTAAATATAGAATATCATGAAAATTATTAGGACACCATTTCTTTAAAGATATTCAGAATATGAATTCCAATCCTAACAGATTTTTTTTAACATGTTAATTTCACTTATCTCTATTTCTGGAACTTGTCAGTAAGCCTTGCACAAGCAGCAAAACAACAGGGACAGTAGCTAAATCTTCTCGGAATCACTACAGGAATCAGAAAACCTGAGTTATATTCCAGTCTCTAGGACTAATAATTATTTTCTGTTACTTGGCAAATAATTTATACCTCAGTTTCCTTTTACTTATATGCTTTAAAATATATGGTTGCCAGAATAAAATATGAAGTATAAACTGAAAACATAAGGCCTTATTTTTATAAATTACTATAGGTAATTTTATTTATTTATTTATTTATTTATTTATTTATTTATTTTAATATATCTTATTGATTTTTTACAGAGCAGAAGGGAGAGGGATAGAGAATTAGAAACACTGATCAGTTGCCTCTTGCACACCCACTACTGGGGATGTGCCTGCAACCAACGTACATGCCCTTGATTGGAATTGAACTTGGGACCTTTCAGTCTACAGGCCGATGCTCTATTCAATGAGCCAAACCAGTTTCGGCCCTATAAGTAATTTTAAATAAAATTTAAATGAATTTTCCCCCAACTAACTAAAGTTGAGAACAAGAAAGGTGAGTGATGTAGGGAAATTCTGACTTTTAAAAATTTAATGTAATAATTAAAATTGTCAACAAATAATTTACTTATAAGTTGAGTAGTGTCTAAATTGTATATAACTGAGTATTATCTAAATTGTAAATAACTTCAATTTATTACACATAAGCTTTTCTTCCATCAGCTTTCCTCTCTTTTGTTGAGTTTTAGTTGGAACTACGTAAGAACAGAGGAGGAAAATAGAATTTTTTCAGTCCTATTTATGATAACTGGTATCTTATGCCAGTTATATTTCTGGGAAGGTGAAGAGATTGTACATAAAGTAAAAATGTCTTGAGATGATTGGCCTGGCTTTGATCCTACTGCTCCCATCAATCTTTCCTTTAGCTGGGCTACTTCATCTATATCTAAAAGTTTCATTGTGTCCAGGTTCCCAGACCAAATGCTTTCTATTTAGGCAAAATATAAGAAACTCCAGACCAGCAGCATAGTAGCCCAGCCTTGTCAATCTAGCAATTTATTTCCCTATTCTGGACCCAGTCACTAAAATCCTGTCTCATTTAATTATGTCTAAGTCTCTACTTCCTGCTCCGTCCTTTTGAATCAGTAAGTAGCCTTGCCCTTTACTTATCTAAATGGTTAAAGGGCAGAATTTTCTCCCTGTGCTCTAGTCCCTTCCCTGTATCTGGAATCTGATACCTGCTTTCATATTTTCCTGTGGTGCATTACTTTTAAGTAAGTCTGGATTTTACCAATGACAACTGCACCACACCTCACTCACCTCCCGTACAGCTGCCAACTTCCCAGCACTGAACGTCTCTACACTTACCAGCCAGGGTCTATTGGGTCTCTGCTTATGGAGGCCTTTCTCCATAAGTTCTGTCACCTGCCTCTCGGACCTTTGGAGGTGGCCTACTAATCAATAGGTCCACCGACCCTCTACTTCTGAGTCCCTGGACTAGTCAGTATGAGTCAGGTTCTGAAATGCCCCAGTGCAGCAACTCTTTCTTAAAGGTCTTCTTCCTTACACAAAATTTCTTTCAAAGGTGATTTTCTCTTTAGACTGCCATGTCTCCTGTGTAAAACGAGCTCAGTAAATGTTCTTAGGCATTTGGTGCACTTACACATCCATGGCAGAGAGGACCAGTATCTTTAGAACAGAAATTAAGAGAATCCAATGCTCATTTACTTTACCACTCAAAAACCAACTAACCAACCAACCAGCCAACCAACCAAGTGAACAAAGAAACAAACCATCCAAACTTCCCCAACACCCAAAAACTCAGAAGGGTATAAAAATGATCAGCAAACTATGATCATTTAAACAATGGAGCATTCTCCTCAAAGACTTAATTACTCAAGAAGGGCACAACTTGTTATGACTAATGAACATTGGTCCTGGGCTTTGGTGGACAGAGAGTTGACCAGAGAAAACTAGTTAATAGTTATGTAACTACTAATTAAATTAATGCCTCCCTGTTTCCATAAAGAAAAAAAGAGGCAAGTGCATGAATTTGGTGGCCCCTCAAATTACCAAATGGTTACATAAACTTTGGTACAGTTGAGTTAATCCTTTGATGGGTTGATTTTTGTCATATTAGAAAGAGAGTGGCATACTTGCTTGTCAGGGTAATGCATTTGGAAGGGCCCTATTTTGGAGGTAAATGTAAATGGAGTCATGTAGTTTGAAAATCTATGGAATTGTTTAAGTGACATGTGACTATATTTCTAACAAAGAATGATTTGTTCCCAAGATTAGTGGGTTTAAAATTTTTTTTAAATAGAATCCAAAAGAAATACTCAATTTTATTTCTGTCTTAGACAAAACTAAAAGACCTTTTAATGGAAAAGATAAGTATTAACAGAATTTAAGATGACATATTTAATTGAATGAACCCATTAAGAAGTTTATTACTGCCCCCTGCTGTCAGTTTCTAAAAGAAATATGGTAAAATTGCTGTAAAAATTAACTTAGGGTGAATTAGTTGAACAAATTGGTTGGGGGGAAAAATTCCCTGCCTCTAATTTCACCACTTTTTAGCCAGGTATGCTAATGCTTATACCATGTTTGTGAGCAATGATTCGTAAAAACAAATAAAAAAACCTACTCTAGCAAAGTATGTATTAGTGGATATAGGAGGAGGAATAAAGCTTGCATTATGTGAAATGCTATATTAATTAAAAGCACCAGTGCACTTTAGACAATGATGTCCTTTATGATTTCTCCAAATTTCATAATTTTTAATTTACTTTTTAACATTTATTTATTTATTTTAATATAATTTCGTTAAAACACGTCTCATTAATAAAAGCCAAACTTTGAAAATAAGTGGCTTATTTTTTTACAGTATACTTAATCCTAACTTGAGAAATGTTACTTTTATTTTGCACATGAAATTAAGAGATGAGAAATACTAACAAGAATAGGTGATACCAACGTAGAGCCACTAGGTGCGAGGCCTTGTTTTACTCTCACATATTATTGTGTTTAGTCACCATAAAATAGAATGTGGTAGGTGCTATTAGGATTTCCATTTCACAGGTGAAGAAACTGGTTCCCGGAGTATAACTTGCCTATTTGGTCCAAAGGTGGAGCCATGACTGGAAACCCTGCAGTCAGACTCCAGGGTCCCTCCTCTTAACCTTTTGCACAGAAGTTATAAACTCTGCAATGAAGGAGGAGGGATTTATAGAAATTACAATGGACACGGTGATGTGAGTATGGGTGCCAACTAATGGCACGCTCATGTAACTGTTACTCTTTTCTGGGCCCTGGGCTCTAGCGGGTGTAGCCTGGGCGTGAATCACAGACTACATGTAGCGCTCCCACTTTTGGTTTAATTTTGCTAGGAAAGTTCTGCCCTCTCTGCTTGCACAGCAGGCGTGTAAGAATGATTATCTTAAGTGAAAGTGTGCCAACTGAGCCCAGGCTTATGCCAGATTATATCCTCAGAGGCATTCTTGGGGTCTGTCCCGGTACACCTGTGCCTCTCATCTGTGTACCCCCAGACAACTTCTAGCTTTAGCCACGCCTTCAGCCATCCTCAGCGACTCCTCAAAATTAGGCACACACTTTTCACAGTATGCTGAATAACTCAGTTGCACATTTTATAAGTTTCCCTGGCTGTAACGGATACCAGAGTCCAAAATAACAACCTGTTTGTACTCTCCATACCTGTCCGGACCTTGGCCTTCCCAGGTACTCGGTGGTTCATGACAACAAATACTAGGATATCCCACCCACCAGGGACGCGGAGGTCAACAGGACTTGCAATGCCTTCGCCAAGCAGGTCCTTGAAAAACAACACCTCAGGCCCCAGAGGGCTAACCAGCCAGGAGCCCTCTCCTCCTCCCACATTAAAGCAACAATCAAAACTCAGCACAGCTCCTTTTTGACAATGCAACATGAAAACATGCCTACCTGACTCGAGGCGGTGGGTTTCCCGAGACTCGACACTCCAAATAAACTCGGCTTCCTTCAGCCACCTCCTGGCTCCGCAGCTTCTGGAGGAAGCGAGGGGCCGAGGAGGAGCCGAGGGGTGTGCTCCGGGGCTGGGGCTGGGGCTGGGGCTGGGGCTGGGGCTGAGGGATGCTGCTGCCCGGCCCAGCCTCGCCCCGGTCTGCCAGGGGGTAGCAGTGCCCAGCGGCTTCGGGGACCTTGCCCTCCGCTTCCATCTCTTGCTGGTCCTGGGTGGGGCTCTGGCTGGCCGAGGCACTCCTCAGGGCTGACGGCTGGCTTTTGGGAGACAGGTACCCGCTGTCCGGGGACGAGGACTCCCCGTTGGGGCTCCTGTTTCTGGGCTTGGCCGCTTCTCGGAAGATGGATGTCAGCTCCTCGATGAAGTTAGCCGCCTTGTCGCACAGCTGGCTCTGGGGGCCGGGCTCCCCGGGATAAGCGGGCTTGGGCTTTCCACCTGGGCTGGCAGCGCTGGCACCGCCTGCCCCGCGCTTTTCAGCCTTTCGGAGGCTCCGGATGTAGCTGGGCCTGGCGAGCAGGGGCGAGAGGGCAGGTTTCCTCTTGGAGCCCTGCGGGGAGAGCCCCTCCGGCTGCTCTGGCTTGGGATCCCGAGGCCTCTCCGAGGAGGTGGGCGCCCCCGGTGACCCGGTCTCCTTGCGGCAAGGGTGCTGGCAGAGGTTCACAGGGGAGGTGCTGAAAATCTGCGAGATCTCCTTTTCCGAGTCAACGTCTTCTGTGTCGGAGTTGGCGATGGCTCTCCGGGCCAGGTCCAGGCTCTTGTTGATCTCTTCCTGGCTGAGAAAAGCAGAGAGCCCAGGGAAGAAGTCAGCATTCTTGCTCTCTTCCTGCATGTCTGATAGGGAGTCATAGAAGGAGTCATGGGAGGACGTCTCTGACATGTTTGGATAGTCTTCATACACCCTGTCTGCTTTCCGCACGGAAGGCCAGAGCCGCTGGGGATCGGTTGACTTCTGTTCGGGAAGACAACATGCACAGAGTGGCTGTGAGCAGCAATGTTCTGTGTGCGTTATCCGAAGACTGCTAACTCACAAACTGGGAGAAACGTTAAGGTCAACAAGTATGGGGTGTCCCCAAAAGTGTATACCCACACTTTGAATAATTATAAAGGCCGAGTTTGTTAAGATCTATTTCCTTTTCAAAACTGACCTCTCAGCTGTTAAAGTGGGCATATATTTCTTGGGGTGGGGGGACACCCTGTGTACAGTTGACCCTTTAACAATAAGGAGCTGAACTGCGTGTGTTTTTTTTGTTTTTGTTTTTTGTTTGTTTGTTTTTTTCTACTTACATACAGCCTGCCCTACCTATTCTCAGTTCAGCATTTGCAGATTGAACAAACCTGTGGTGGAAAACAGCTTTTTCTCATTCCCAACTGTAGATGATTCCCACCCGCAGCCTGGAAAAGGCTGTTTTCTCTCCATTGCTGGTTGAGTCCCCTGCTGCAAAGGTCCAACTGGAGTTACGTATGTTTTTGGGGAAGTCAAACGTTACATATGAATTTTCAAATCCAAAAAAGGAGAGGCGTTGGCTTCAATAACCACCATGTTGGTCAAGAGTCAACTGTATTGTTTGGAAATAATCTGCTCTATTAACTAAGAAACATTAAGTGTACTTGTATTTACCATCTTAATTTAATATTTGCCCTGTGAGTGAATATTATGTTACTGACCAGCACTGAATAACTCAAGAAGATGGTATTTGCAGTAGGCGCTGTAAGTGACTATGAGTGTAGGAGGGCATTCTCAGAGTCTCCTCCCTTCTTTCCTCTATAAACCTTATGAAAGCTCTAATTATGTTAATGTCATGAGATTAGTAACTTGCTGATAGTTTAATAAATTTGATCCTGTTTTTAAAATAACCACAACATACATTTTGATTACAATCTTCACTTATTTTAAGCTTTCAATGAAATATTTGATACCTTATTGTTTCATCCTTTTCTTTGTTCAGCCATGTGCTTTCATATTCACTAATTCAACAGTTTATTTAACACATAGTTAATAATAACTTATAAAGTTTCAGGCACTAGAGGTGTCATGCTCTATCTGGGATTGGAAAACTGTAAGGGCCAGATAGTAAATACTTTTGACTGTGCACTGTACAGTCTCTATTGTAACGACTTAAATTTGAACATCAAACCGGCCATAGGAATACATAAGTAAATAAGCATGGCTGTGTGCCAATAAAACTTTATTTATTGTTACTGACATTTGAATTTTATGTTTTACATGTCAAATACATTATTTTTCTCTTGAATTTTTTTTTAACAACAGTTTAAAAATGTAAAATATTCTTAGTTGGCAGGCCATGAAAATACAGATGGTAGGATGGCTTTGGCACCACAGCTGAAGTTTACTGACCTTTGATCCAGATTGTTAACACAATAAGAGGTAAAAGTCATGTGGTATGGTAAAGACGGGGGACTGGAGAATACATTAAACAAATGATATGTAAATAACCTAGAATTTGGTTAGGGTGTCAAAGGCAAGGGAAAAGAGCTTGGTTGCTATGCCAGCTTTATCTAACCTTCAAAGACATGTGAGAGAACCATGTGCCCCGAATAGGACATTTATATGAGAATGTTACCAGCATTAAATACATATTTTGACACCTGCCAAATAATTGGCATCAATTTAACTTGTACTGCATTTTGGACTAAATATTGTGAAGCAATGATTCTCTCATTACTCTAAGTGTACTTGCTCCTTTTCTACACATTGTTCATAGAATGATAGAGGGAAGACCTAGAAAACTTGCCCTGGCTGGTATGCCTCAGTTGTTTGGGCATCATCCCAGGCACTAAGTAGTTGCTAGTTCGATTCCAGGTCAGGGCCCATGCCTGGATTGTGGGGTTGATCCACTGTAGAGGGCATGCCCGGAGGCATCCCATTGATGTTGCATTGATGTTGCTCTCTTCTCCCTTCCTCTCTCTAAAAATCAATCAACTAGTCTTAAAAAAAAAATCTAGAAAACTTCCTAAGTAATTTTGCCTCACAATTGAGTCTGGAAGTCAATAAAAGGAGGCTTGCTGAGTGTGGTGAAGCACAACTTTGATAGTTGGGTGGGAGTGAACTTGGTGAGACATTCGTACTCGGGGAGGTCAGCATGCCTTGTGAGGCTAGAATGGAGCTTCTTGTTTAGAAGCAATTTCCCATCTAGGGATTCTGCCTTGAGTGATGAGATTTTCTTTTATTAAGTGTCATGTTATTTTCTCTCCTATGACCCAAGAGAGCCAGCTTGCTTTTTTTTTTTTTTTTTTTTGGCCCCTGAAAGTCTCTAATCTCAAAAAACATGATGTAGGAGGTCCCAGAAATGCACCACAAGGACCTGCTGCCACACAGGATGATTCACAGAATCTACTAATTCAACAGAAGGTTGTAACCAGAGATCCTGAAGCTCATTAGGAACCCACCATATCTTCTTTAGTCAAATGTTACACTTGTGTCTTAGATGTCCGCTTAGAAAGATTACTCACTTGGCTGAGCCTGAATTATGAGATTCTCTACATTCTAATCCCACGCTACCCACTGAACCGTATTTCCCACTATTGTCTAAGTAAACCTTACAGATCATTTCGAGTAGTCTCATCATTGCCTGCCTCTTTATCAGCCCAAACATTCCTCTGATGCTTTTGTTCAGTCTGTGTTCCTGATGGAACCACTCCTCAGTAACTCGTGAAATATAGCCCATATAGGGAGAATGGCTACATCCAATGTAAATTTTGAATATTTGAATATGTCTTATTTTAATTCACTTTTTGTACTGAACTCAGTGTGGTTAAAGATTGGGGAACATTTTATTACTGAATCCAAGGGGTTCACAACTTGGGGTGCTCTGTTAAAAATCAAGATGTGATTGTCACAAGGTAGTTTAACTTTCTTGCAGCAAGTAAAGGAGACTGGGGTCCCATAGCCACTCCTCTGCCTCCCAGAAGGAGGCTTAGCCATTGCTGGTATACACTGCCTGGTCAATTACATGTTGATTTCTTCTTTTTGAAGTTGGCTACACTTACCAGGTTGTGTTTCTGCCAAGCTTATCCTGTTTATTATAGCTGGTCTGCAAAATACCATGTTACCTTTTTTTCATTTAGCAAAAATAGCCTTTAGTTAGAATGGTCCAAACCTTGAGACCCTTGTCCTATCTAACAAATTTGTGTCAACCGAATCTGGAGCTAAGCTGAAAGTCCAGGTAAATATTGGAAACAAAACCTTCGATTGGAATAGATATTCCACACAGAAGAGAATTCCCCATTCAAGATCTGTTTATGGAGTGTCTAAGGACATGCCACGCAGTGTGCTAGGCACTCAGATGAAATTGGGAAAAGACAAGGTTTCTGCCCTCATTGAACTTAATAGTCTATAAAGGATACAGATAAGTAACAAGCATGCATGTTTTAGTGTGTCAAGTGCCATGCTAGCATTTAGAAGGGACAACGGGGCACAGAGCACACCCCTGGCAGAGCACAATCACATTTTTATTCTCCTGTCCCACCATGGACAGGCACCACAAGCGCCAGGAGAGCTAACACCTTCTGTCTGAGGTCTCCAAAGGCAACTTTTTTTTCTTCCGAGGCTTTTTCTTCTCAACCGCCACATCGCTGTTGCTAGCCTTTGCCGAGAGTAGAAGACACTTCCCGGCCGCAGCTCTGCAACCCTCAGCTCCTCCAGAAGGGCCAAGATGGTATTAAAAGTAGAGCCGTTTTCCTTTGTGCTTCTGTGCAACATGGTGCAGTAATCTCTCCAGGGAAAGCGGCTTAGCTAGAAGGCGGAGCTTCATTTCCTTCCCCTTCTGGAGACGCAGACTTGTCCACATCTCGGCGCTGTGGCTACTGGACGCCTGGGCACAAAGGATCCTGGGAAGCAGGCGATGAACCGGTGGCTCAGCCGCAGAGTCCTGTGCACCTCGACGCCCTCTTTGCATGGCCTGTCTGGGGAGACCTTGACTTTGCATTCCAGCATCTGCAGCTCTGGGGTTCCCTTGGCTTGCGCCAGGGTGTGGACCACGTCCTGGAGCTTTTTCTCTTCCTCCGCGGGAATCCCATCCCAAGTGCAGTCCGCACCAGTGTGTAAGTAGTAAACCCACGGAAGGTGGTTTTGGTTTGAGTCCAGCGGGAGGCACAAAAGACCATGTCGATACAGGATGTCCCAAAAATGTATACACACTTTGAATGATTAAAAGTCCTTGTTATTAACACACAGTTCATTTTCAAAATTTGAAAGCACTTATAGAAATGATTTTTTCTTTTGTCAAGACACTGCTGATAAAGCGAAGCAATGGAATCACAAACATCAAGAATAATGTTATTCATTATTTGTGCTCCCTCAATTCGTTGCCAGTTGCCGATTTTATACCATAAACTTCATCTTTTATGTGTCCCTATAAAAAGTCTGGTGGCACTTTAGGATAAATTTTCTTTGTTCAAAGCTTAGTCTGGCTTTACCAATTATTTCAAATTAGTTAAACCTGAAGAGGATTGAAAATTAAGTGAGTTATCAGCTATTAAATGTGTATACATTTTTGCCACTCCAGGCACAGCACCCAGGTGACCATGTGACCTTGGGGATGACTTTGGCAATCGTTCTGGTTTTCCCACTGAGAACCTAGTGTGACGTGTGTTGATGTCCACCATGCCTCACAGGACACTCACAGGGCAGACCTTGTTGTCTATGAATCTCCAGTTTTATTTGATTTCAGCTGGCGCGGGCTCCTTAATGAGGGACGTGTTTGTGACGTTTCTTGCTGTTCCATATAAAGTTCTTAAAGAAACAGACCACACACACACATACACACACACACACACACTTGTGGAAGTTGCTGAGGGTGCCTTTGTCCTCAAAAAGGTATCTTTCTCTGCGAGGCATCTGCTTCAACAAAGGCGATC